GGCTTTATCTGGAATCTAAATGTGGCACGTGGTTTGGGAAACATCTGGCTGTGTGGACCGCCACATGTACGGCATAGGGGGTAAACGTAGGCCCTGCTCATTGGGTCGAACCTCTCTGCCGCTGTTCATTTCATTAGTGGGTAGACGGCGCAGCGAGTGCTTGGCTTCAGTCGTCGGGATTGACTGTGTCTCTCTGGCATGTCAGCTCAGTCCTCTTGAGGCGCTGCTAAATTACGGTTTGGAAGCTGCCGCTCATGCTTCGGTAGTCGTTGCAGTCCTCCTGAGCTTTTTAAGACATTCCACCGGAGCCGTAAAACTCACGTTCATGAAAGGTGATAACTGCAAGCATCACATCGATGTCAGGTGGTTTCTAGATATAGGTCTGTGAGGTTTACTGAACAAGTAGAAGTTTATCTTCAACCTTTTATGGTCTACTTCAATATTTTGGACTACACTGCGGCGTTTTTTTTTTCTCACACATTGAAGTAACAATCTCCTGAACTTATTCATGCTTTCCCATGTTACTGTGACAAGCCCCGATGTGTTTTATTTGGGTTTTATGTGACAAATCAACAGAGGTGTTTGATTAAAAAACATCAAGTGACAATTTCTATTTAGTCCCCTTCATTCTGATACAGAACAAAATCCAGTGCAACCTATTAACAGACTGCTGATCTCTGTAACCAATATACAAAACACTTTAAACAGCAAAAAAACAACATTGGACGTCACCATGAACACAACTTCTCAAATAGAAAATGTTTTAATACCGTGCGGTAGGGATGCTTGCCTTCAGCAGGCTGTTACTCGTCATGGATGGTGGGAGGAAGGATTTTTAAAAATACATTTTGGGCTGGGGTGAAGGTTTGCCATCAATTGCCAGTTGTGCTTTTGGCTACAGGCCATATAGGCAGTCGCCCAGAGCAGCATTGGAAAGGGCCTCCTGCAATTTTGATTGTTTAGAGATTGGCTGGAGGTGGGTCTCGCCCAATGCACTGTTTATGCAAGAACCACCACTGGGCAGAGATATAAATCAATGGCTCTTATTGAGGCATTTTCATGAGTTAAAGTCATATTTCTAACCCAGGGAAACAAGAAGTTTACTACGGCTCAGATGAACAAAATGAATGAGAACGACAAATTAAAAACAGAAAACACTGATATTAATGTTGTAACATTAGTGGTTTGGTACAGAAAAAAAAACACAAAGATTTTTTAACTGTTTTTTTTCCCAGAACATTTCAATACATTGAAATGTCTCTTTGTCTATAAGGTTTGAGGACGCTGTATCTCTCTAGATTTCAACTCTTTTGCTTGCAAAACAGCGGGCATTCAGACCTGCCTCTTAAATTACTGTGCATTTGCGCTGAAACCACAGACCCCCACACCAGACAAGCTTCCTTGCCAGCCAGCCAGAAAGTCGGCCAGCCACCAAACACTGTCTCACTAATACTGCCTGCCTTCTCCTGTTTATTTTTCTTAACATCTCTGTCTTTGCATTCCTCGTGTTTCTTTCGAGTGAAGATCTGTAGTCTCCAAAATGCATAAATAAACACGAGTTACAGACATTTATGATGAATCTCAAATAAACAGCTAAAGGAATTCTTTGGTAAATGGCTGTAAATGAAGAATTTGGGCTATCTAGCTTTAGTTCCCAAAAGAAATCGCAGACTTCAGGCTAATCTCAGCACATGTGGTGCCAATGAACACACCTCTTTTTCTAAGTGCTTGTGATTTAAAGCATGCTATCAACTCCTAAATTACTTCCAATCCTGTTGCCAATTAACCATCCTGTATAATGAGATGTAATTGTCAAATTAGAAGATGTCAACTTATGTTCATATGAATGCTGCGCCTCGGCGCAGACTGTCATTGCGCAAACATTTCTCTCTTGTGCTGAGAGGATAACAAGCAAGTGATGACCACAAACGCTGTGGAAGTAACTGTCTCAAAATTACTTGGGGAGAGAAAGATCCTTCCCCCCCTATAAATTACCCAATTTCATAGAAAGAGAAACATAACGCTGCTACTGCACACACATGTTACTGACATGAATGTATACTGTAGAGGAATGCGGTGACAAATATAGAGTGGTGTGAAAAGTGGATTTGCATGAGTGGAACTTTGTCACAGTTTGTCACATTGCAGCTGTAAACCTCAGTGGGTTTTGATTGGTGCTTTATGAAGAAGAACAACAAAGGTAGATCGCCATCTTTAAAAACATGTTTTATTCATTAGCTTTGCAAAGAAATATCTCAAAGGATGCTCTTGTAAAATTTTGCAACACATACCGATTTGGACTTAGCCCTGGGCTTTGACTGGGCCATTGTAAGACGAGAGTACACTTTGATCTAAATCATTTTATTGTAGCTCTGATAGAGCGTTGAGTGTGTTATTATCCCAGTGGAAGACAGACTTCCATCCCAGCAGCAGGTTTAGAAATTGTCAGATCATGATGCTGCCACCACCGTGTTTCAAAGTGGGGATGATACGTTGAGTGAGATGTTCATTGTTAGATTTGCATATTTACTGGAGCATTTAATTTTGGTTCTAATATAATCTAAGCACCTTCCGTCACGTGTTTGGTGAGTCAAATTATATGTGCCAAACTTTAATTTTTGACTGTCACAACTTCCTGTGACCTGTCCAGGGTGAATGCTGCCTCTCGCCTGGAACGTTAGCTGGAGATAGGTACCACCAACTTCGGACCCCACTAGGGACAAGGGTCTTACAAAGTGGATGGATGGATGGATGGATGGATGGATGGATGGATGGATGGATGGATGGATGGATGGATGGATGGATGGATGGATGGATGGATGGATGGATGGATGGATGGATGGATGAATGAATGGACGGACGGACGGACGACTTCCTGTTAGCATTATTTTTCTTCGTGTGATTTCCAGCAGTACATAATGATTTAATGATAATTTCATGCAAGGCGATTATTAGTGGTTTATTGCATTTGTTGCGTACCTTCACTAAAACACGTTAGAACGCTCTGTGTTTCTGCTTAATCTTGTCTTTTCCACTTAAATATTCATCACCTGTCTTTTGCAAACTTGCCATACAGTGCTGTAAAAGTACAGCACAGCTGCGTGCTAATTGCCTCAATAAACCTCTATGTAAAAATGTTTGCTACGCAATAAAAATTAACCACATTTACAGAATTTCCTTGCCTAATAAAGTGGTGATATTGTTGGCATTTATAAGATGTTAGTCTGAGCCTCAAAATACATTTTGCATTCCAAATCACTAAAAACCTAACTCTTTAGTCCAAATAGGGCTTGAAAGTTTGGGGGGAAGAGTTGGATTGGGAATGCATCTTGGTTTTGTAGGTTGAATCCAGTTGCACACACTTAACATTGCATGTTTTTTAAGACCAAAAACATGCCAAGAGTCCTCAGGTGGTTTTCCTGTTAACATAGAGCCATGCCTGTAAAAATATTTGGCCAAAGGCAATGTGGTTGTCTTTACCTGAGGTTAATTTGAGTTGACAGAAATGCATACTGTGGATGCCTAAGATCATTAAGATCTAAAGTTGTCCCTGTTGCCGGTTCAGTTAGAAAAATAAAAATAAAAGCATGCTGCTGTTAACATAAGCTACATACTAAATGGAAAGAAGTCTGTATAAATATATTTGAGTTTGAAACTTAGGGAATCAGAAACACGGCAGTCATGATATAAAGCTCCACAGCCACCACTCATTTCACGGCATCTCTTTTCCAACGACCCAGATTATATTGCGATCTTTTGAAGTGGTTTTTAGTATTAGTTTACCAAACTTTCGAATTTTCTGACTTCTTATTGACCCGGTTATCCAGTTTTTTGCGTTGTGTTTCCAGGCATGTTATTACCGGTATCCAGTGGCACGTTTACAAGGAGCTGGTTTTCGGTGAAACCAAAACATTTTTGTTGAGATCCAGCCACTCGTTTACACGTCTCCAGTGATTGCACTCTCTGACACTCGCACTTTTTGAAGCCCACTCTGAGTGGGAGTTTTTGAAAAATAAAAATAAAAGCCCCACAGAGGTGTGAAGAACTCTGCAGATGTGAAAGAACACACAGCTGCAGAGTTTGTTCTACGTATGCAAGAACAAACTCAAGTAAAACAATGGCGGACTGCATTGTGTTGTACATGATATTTAACCTGTTCAGTCTAACATAACATTTGATACGGAATGTATATGTGTTGCATGAGCACCTGGTTCCTTGGAGGTGGGTTACCGATCTCTATATGAAGTAGAAGTTAGTGAAGTGGAAGCTAAGGAACCAAAAGCACATGCTTGGTTTGACTACCTGCTGAAATCACAGCGCCATTTTGTAGCTGAAGCACCAACAACAGTGTAAATGTCTCTATTGATGCTGCCTAAACATGGAACTTTTCACCAATCAACATCCAAAAAGATTCCAGAGAGAAGTTTTGCGTAAACATAGCGTAAATGAAAGGCCAATCAGAATTTTGCTCTTGATCAGAAAGAATATCACGCATAACTAAATTATAGTGACTATTAGTAGTTGTTTTTTTGTCATCTTAAAAGTCTGCTCACCCTTCTAAGACGTCATAAACACTTTATCTACCAGGCCCTTCTAACCATCAAACAGTAATTTACTGGATATTTCTTCTATGTAAAACTGTATATTGTTAGAACTTGGCATGTTGCCAGGTGGATCCTCTGTTACCTAAGCATATTGTAATTCACATTAGCTCCTAAGAGCAAACCATTCATTCATGAATGTTTGCAGAAGCAGTCTGATTTTTCACTTTGGGGAGTACAGACATGTTTTGACACACAAATTCAATGAGTTGAATAAGTGAGCAAATACTTTTGGCAGTATGGTGTGCTTTAGAAATTTGCAACACTTGAAAATATACTTTAAAAAAAATTATGATTATTTATCAATGCAAGAGAGTTGAAAAAGGCTCATCGAAGCTCATAAATGAAAATCTTTGTACCGGAACGATTTTTCAACTTGTCTTCCTCTCTCACCTACAGATCTTTGTGTGTATGAGAAGCTTGGGATGCCGGTGACCATGCTGTTGGCTCCTGTCTGCGTGCTGCTGATGCTTGGGGGCCGTGCTTTTGCTGGAGGTTACCCCCCCATCCCTCACGTGAAGTACATGCAGCCCATGATGAAAGGACCTGTTGGCCCTCCATTTCGAGAGGGCAAGGGACATTACGTTGGTAAGTAATCCCTCTTTCCACTATCATTTGTTTTCACGTTCTGCAAACCACACGGAGGAATAGACCGCACAGCCTTTCTGCAGCCTAATAGGTCTATTCTCTTTCTGTAAATAGACCTAATATTTGAAACCTATGTTCAACGTACACAAATATCCCTCCTCTGGAATCTGGCATTGCTCAGTAGGGGCCTATTAAAGGTCCGATTGCCAAATGTTAGTTGAAGTGAGTGAACGGGGCTTGTTGTTCCTCACACCATCTGGATGCCGTTACTTCAATGTTTTTAATCACATATTTTCCAGGAAAGAAAATAAATTACTTAAAAAAACACTCAGGGGAAGGAGAATAGAGATGGGGGGGATGGGTGGTAACCATCACTGTACAACAAATGCGTACTATCACCCCCCTTGATGATCAAATTGGACTTAAAGTGTGCCTGATCAGTTCTGGATCATGTGAGAGGTGGCGGGTGTAATCAGAGGCCGGTACTCAGAGCAAATTTCAAAGCAAATGTAATTACTAAAAGAGTGTTTAAAAAAAAAAAAAACGATGAGTGAGATGGGGAGATTATTTGATGGTGATGATTAGCACCTAAACTTCAAAGCTTTGTCAGGAGCTTTAACAAGACCACAGGGATTCTTTTTTTTTTTTTTTTTCTGTGAATAGTGAGCTCAGACCTGAGAACTAAACACTGCTCTTTGATGAATGGTTGAAATAGGATGTATGATTTTACTGCCACTCAGTGGTCAAGAGTCCTCACTACATCCCTACACTGTCACCTGGCTCACAAACATGCAGACTTTCAAAGAAGAAATAAACGCGCAGAAAGAGATAAAGAGATTTCTTAACTTAAAGTGTCTTTAAAAAAATAATGCTAATTAATTCTAAGGAAAGCAAATAAACAAAAGAATAATCTTCTGTATCATGTAATATAATAAAAGCTGAGGCTTAGAAATTAGGTCAGATCTTAAAGTGCCATATTATGTAAATTAATTTAAAAAGTGCTTTTTAATAATAGATTATTTAGTCAAATAAACATTGAAAATTAGAATTTCTTTTTTAATTCATCAAGAAAGAAATAGAATGACTGAACAAAACTTTATCACCATAAACACTGAGGGCATATAGAAAACAATTTTTGAATGGCCCAAGCTTTTGTTTAACATCATTTGCTAAATTACTGTTTTTTGGTATACTTTCTAGTTACTTATAAAATGTGTTTGATGTCATGTTTCGTATTTCATAAGTACAAATGGCTGCAAGACTTATGCAGTACCAGCAGAGGGCAGTAAAAGCTCCAAGTTACATGTTGAATATCAGAGCTAAAGTTCTAGTGATTGTTGTACTGAAATGCACTTCAACAGTCTAATGTCAAATTCTCAATCGAAAAGGTCCCTTCTGATATTATATCTGAAATACTTTTGTATTTTTAATGTTCCTATTAAGACTTCAGCTTCTTTATATGAATTGTGCTCATTTTTCCCAAATATTATTCCAGAATTTGTTTGCAATCAATTAATTCATATTATATTAATGAATCTATTTCTTGCCAGTTGTTGTATATGTATGAAAAAGAAAACAATATAACGATTGTTGCAAATACTTAATTTAATATGAACATAGCAACATGGTGTCAGCAGATGTGTGATTTCTAAAACAGTTATTGTAACAACAATATTAGCATGATAAACGTACTGTAAAAGAGAGCTGCAAGCAAGATTACTCTGTGGAATAACTTAAGTGGCTTTAATTCTTTGCGAAATAAAAAGAGGGAAAGCAATAATTACTCTAACTACTTGATTTTTGCTTTCTAGATATGCCACCTATGATGAAAGGGGAACCAGGTCCTCAAGGGAAACCTGGACCAAGAGGCCCTGCTGGGCCACCAGGATTACCAGGAAAGCCTGGGATGGGAAAACCAGGTCTCAATGGACAACCAGGGCCTCAGGGACCTCCAGGGTTTACAGGAATTGGTAAGCCTGGACTCCCAGGTCTCCCAGGAAAGATTGGGCCAAATGGAATGCCAGGAGTTAATGGCGAGGTTGGACCTCGTGGTGAGCCAGGACCCCGTGGACTTCCTGGGCCCCCTGGTGTCCCAGGCCCTGCTGGTTTGTCACTGAATGGGAAACCTGGACTCCCAGGTATCAGAGGTCCTCCTGGAGCTCGGGGTGAGCCAGGATTAAAAGGTATTTCTGGCCCACCAGGTGAACGTGGACATAAGGGTGAGAATGGTAATGGGAAACCAGGAATTCCAGGTATCAGGGGGCCACCAGGTCTAAAAGGCAGTACAGGACCCCCTGGTTTTCCAGGTATTGGCAAACCAGGACAGAAAGGTTTACCAGGACCACCTGGACTTAAAGGTGATGAAGGACTGCCAGGCAAACTAGGAGAACCAGGACAGCCTGGGCCACCAGGTCTACAAGGTCTTCCTGGGCCAGCTGGGTTGGGAAAGCCTGGTCTAGATGGACTTCCAGGAACACCGGGTCCTGTGGGTCCTAAAGGTGAACAAGGGACTCGAGGAACTCCTGGAACTCCTGGTGCACCTGGCTATGGAAAACCTGGTGTAAATGGGCCAAAAGGAGAAAAGGGTCATGGTGGATTTCCAGGTCTCCCTGGGGACAAGGGAGAACAAGGAATCGTTGGTCCAATTGGGGTGCCAGGTCTTGATGGACAACCAGGACCACAAGGCGTTCAAGGTCCAATGGGACTTCCAGGAAAACATGGAATGCCAGGGCAGAAAGGAGAGCTAGGACCCAAGGGACCCCCAGGATTGCCTGGACTCAAAGGTGACCAAGGCCTCAGTGGTATCCCTGGGCGACCTGGTTTCCCAGGGGAAAAGGGCATCCCTGGACCTAATGGTCCTATTGGTAAACCAGGCCCTAAAGGTGAGTCAGGGCAAATTGGCCAACCTGGGAATCCAGGGTTGACAGGTTCTCCAGGGCCTAAAGGTGAAGTAGGCTTTATAGGGACTCCAGGCCCCAGAGGCCAGTCAGGAATTCCTGGTCTCCAAGGACCTATGGGTCCTATGGGCCCACAGGGTGCCCCTGGACCACGGGGAGAAGCTGGACTTCCAGGGCCTCCAGGGTTAGGCAAACTGGGTGACAAGGGAGCAATGGGTCCACAAGGTCCACCAGGAAAACCAGGGCCTTCTGGGCTTAATGGTATGCCTGGTCCACCTGGTCCTCCTGGCCCTCCTGGCCTTCCTGGAAATGGCCAAACTGTTGCTGCAGGGGTCACTGATGCAGGACTAGGTGGCGAAGAAGTACCTGGGGACAGGAAGGGTCCTGCATACACTCAAGTTCTCTCTGCCTCACTAGCACCAGCGTTCACTGCTATTCTCACCACACCATTCCCACCTTCTGCCCTGCCAATCAAATTTGATAGGACCCTGTATAATGGACAAAATGCTTACAGCACTTCTACTGGCATCTTCACTGCTCCTTTATCTGGCGTCTACTACTTTGCATACCACATGCACGTGAAGGGAACTAGCCTGTGGGTGGCTTTGTACAAGAACAATGTGCCAGCCACTTATACCTACGATGAATACAAGAAAGGCTACATGGACCAAGCATCTGGCAGTGCAGTCCTAGAGCTTAAAGAAGGTGATGAGGTATGGGTTCAAATGCCCTCTGATCAAGCAAATGGCCTTTACTCCACTGAGTACATCCACTCCTCCTTTTCAGGATTCCTGCTCTGTCCCACATAACCTTTTCTTCTTCTTCAAAAAAGTTCCTATATTTGTGACTCAGTTCAGCCCTATACCCCAGACACCTGCAGCCATAATAGAAATATAAAAAACCCATAACATGTTAAAAAAAATTACTACAATCACATTATTTTTCTCACCTCCAACAGTCCCAGTTTGAAAAAAAATTAAAAATTGTGAATTCAATATGAAATGTTAAAAGGCAGGGGAAGGATTGTCATACTGTGTTCTTTTAATGTCCTTCAAATGTATGTTTCGGGTTATATTTTGTGATGGTTTTAGCCTATATTAATTTTAATTATTATATTGTCATATTTTGTTGTTATTTGAACCTTGTCATCAGTATCGCTTTTGTCTGTTGGATTTAGACTTGTAAGTGCCTTACACGTAGCGAGTGCGTAACGGACCTTCCCGTGTGACTGCACATACTGCCAGACAATATGGTCGTCAGAACGTGGGACGGGAGGGAGACACGTTTCCAGACATGCAGTCGCTTCTGCGTGTGTAATTTAAATAATTATTTGAAAAAAAACAACAAAAAAAAAAAAAAAAGAAAAGCCTGCACAAAGAGTAACACTTCAACACAAGATCACAGTTTTTTCTGTGAAAAGAAATCAAGGCATTTGGTCCTCCAACACTTTTAGTTTGCCCAAATTCTAAATTTCTCAAGAGAAAAGTATACTTTATTATTTGTTGGTATATGAACGTATTGGGTGCTATTTTGTTTCTTTGTTTTTTTTTTTTGTTTTTTTTTTTTTAAGTTTGAGACCATTTAGGATGTGAATAGAGTCTGTATTTACATGCAGTAAGAAATGTATCACAAAAGCATCTGCAAATGGACAGTAAAGACTGTCTACTGTTAGATTAGCTTCGATTGATTTCTCTTTTTCATTTGCACTGTCTTATTGCACCAGAGATTTCGTTTTCTCCCAATACTCAATCGTTCATACATCGTTCATAGAACTAACAATTCTACATCACTTAGCTGTTCAAAACACAATGCCAGAAACGTCCCTTTCTTCTTATTAGAGAAAAAATATGTGAATATGGTAAAAGCTTGAGTGTATTCCTGAACTGGAAATGCTGATAAAATTCAAACTAAATGCCTGTGACTATGCCACCCGTGAATTTTGGCACTTCTAGCAAACATATGTACAGAGGCTTAACACTGTAAACTGGGGTTTTCAGAAAAAAAAAGTTCTTTAGATTGACCGTGCTTCCTTAAAAGCTAAAATAAGAAAAATGTTGTGATTTTTTTTTTTTACCTCTTCAACAATAAATGAATCATATAGAGGCACAGCTGCCCAATTAAAAGAAATGGTATCCAAGAACACTGCCGATTCTTTTGAAAAGATAAAAAACCCAATTGGCTATTGTCAACATTCCCGTACTTAGCCTAGTGTTATAAAATATTCAATGTCATATTTGGGCGTTATTGGATAGATGCAGTTCTATTTACTATGCAATTAATAAGGAGGCAAGAGGCAAATTAATAAGGAGGCAAGAGGCAAAGATCGTATGTTTTCCATTGTTCCAAGACTGATTCCAAGATTTTAATTTGTCATAAATAATTTTCCCCAGGTTGAAAAAAAAAAAAAAAAAAAAAAAAAACATCCACACACATACACCCAAATTTTTCCTTCCTAAATTTTCACAACTCTTTTCCAAGGGCTGCAAATGGCCCCCGGGCCACACTTTTGACACCGCTGTTTCGGAGCCTTGCTATCCGTGGAGATTCCGTTTCCGTTTCCTTTCCTTTATAAAGATTAAGATGCATGTGTCACGATTTAATGGCTTCTTTTGTTGTCTTTAAAATTTTTATGACTGCCCCCTTTGTCCCATCAAATTTGCGCCACATGTAAACGGGACGTTGTGAAGTTCTCAAAAAATAAGCTTCTACAGAGTCTGATCGACTAAAAATTGTAAACTATGACAATATTGTCCCTGTATGGTTTGGCATTGGTGATATTAAAAACAATTATTTATGTACAGGGTTTTCTTAACCCTCTGAACAAAATCCAGTCAAGTTGAAGGCTGGATTTCTTCCAAATTCTTTCATCCGTAAGAGGACTATTTATTATCATGTATGTTCAGCAGCCGTCCCATCAACTTGTGATGGGTGCCGTACGTCCAAAAGTCTGAACAAATAAGGATTTTCTAAGCGAATAAGAAAAGGGACCAACAGAAGTTCACCAGTTGTGAAATACAGGTTGTGTAACATTTAACAAACCCCCAGTTTATTTCTAGAAGAGGCAGCAGGTCAGAGGTAAGAGCTCTGTTTTTGCTCACTACTGCTGGATGAAACATTGAAGATCTTCCTGTCAATAAATGCCTGGGTGTATGTGTGTGGTTGTTTTTTTTTTTTTTTTTTGGCTGTGTTACATTGTCCCCTTCAAAAGTCCGGACATGAATATTTCAATGAGCATAATAATAAACTTGAACAAGCTTATGAAGCCTTTGGAAAAGCTATGATTTTGTTAATGTTCCTCAAGAACGCTTGAGAATCGGAACATCAGAATGCTTTCAGCTCCCTCTGGGTTTTGGCAGGAATTCCACAGGAGGTTTTACATCACGAGTCTCTGCTGAGAGGAGAAAGAGAAATAGCTACTGAAATAGATGATTCATGTGACATGGAAAACAGCCAAAGCTGAAGCGAGACAGCAATGATAATATCGAGGAATATTCAAGATTAACACTGAATTTGCTGTTTTTCTACGTTTTGACTCATGCAAGAGGAATCGCGGCTTGCTGCAGCTCTGGGTTGAACCAAGTCAAACGAGAAAAGTCAACAGTTTTTGAGATGTGCCGATTTCAGCGGCTGTTAGCAAGCTAACACACACAGTGCACGGCCGGGGCAAAATTTGCTATATTTACAGTGCCTTGCAAAAGTATTCACGCCTTGAACTTTTACACTTTTGTTACCATAACCAAAACCTGCAGTGCATTTTATAGTAAAGGTTTATGTTCACCGCTTTGCAGAACCATCTATCACAGCGATTGTTTCATTCACTCTCGGGGATCCTCTACCAGCTTTTTGCACATCAAGAAATTAAAGCTCGGTGTCTGTGAACATCGACTTTCAAGTCTTGCCACGGCTTCTACATTAAAAATGGGTCTTAAAGAAAGCCTCTCCTCCCTACTCGGCTTGTTGCAGTCTGTACTAATACTTCTTATGGCTTTCTTTTTCAAGTACACTTTTTGTGGACTGCAAGGCCAGTACATGTCCTTGTCAAAAGGATTTTTGCACCTGATCTGTGGGTCTCTGCAGCTCCTCCAGAGTTACCACGCACTTCCTGGCTGTTTCTTTGACTAATCCTCTCTATGTCTGCGACCTGTCGCTTTGGGTGGGCCGCTGTCATCTTTGCAGCTGTCCCGTACTCTGTGGTGATCTTACACATTGGATTCCGCCTTCAACATATTGGATTTTGTGGTTCCAGCATAATACGTGAAAAGGTTCAAGTGATACTTTTGCAGAACACTGAGTTAAAGAGAAAAGCCTACGTCTGTTCTTTTATTTCTCTGAAATCCAACAGAATCTGCTTGCATTGCCCAAACACTTGTTACACTGAAAGAAAACAGCTTTAGACCTTAGGTAATGGAGATGTTCTTTGTGCCAAACATTGAGATCTGCAATTAAAAGGAATGTATGCTGTTAGACAGATTTTCTCCCCCCATAAATAATCCAGAATGCTGTCACTAAACAGTAACCCTTTAAGTTGCTCGAGAATAGCACTGTGAGGATGGTGCCCAATCTGTATTTTATACCAACATAATGCACTTACCCTTTCCTTTACATAGCATGAGCACACCAACAACTGCTTGTGTATCATTCAGTTCAGTTCTGTAACACATTCTAAGACTTGTTTTGTGCTGTATGTTTTTTTCTTTGTGTGTGTTTTGTTCTTTCGAACTCATCTTTGAACAAAAGAAGCGCTGATGAGAGTCATGTACGTGCTTATTGCTCTCTTTCCTTAAGTTTTTACAGACAATGTCACTTGCTTGCTGGGTTTGCATTGTGTGCAAATCATTCAACAAGTGTCAGTGAGATCCTAAAACGCAAATTATATATTTGAACTGTTTCCTTTTTGTCTATATTGAACAACAAAAAAAGAAGAAACAGAAGAAGAAGAAGAAAAACAAAGACAATCGAAAAAGAAAAAAAGAATCCCAACAGTTTGCTTCGGTTCTTTAAGGGATATTTGTTTGTTTTTATTTTCAGTAGACACAAACGGCCGTTCCCATTTGCACATAAAATTAATGGAGATGTATTTATACATTATTGATAATTTAATAGAGATGCCAAAAACTGACCACCGAAGCCTAGAACATACAAATGGTATTTAATAGCATTGACTAGTTAATAGCCTTTGTAACATGTAGTTAGCATTCTAGAGTTATTTGTGAAGGATTATTTGTGAACGTTTATTTTCTTACATGTCACGTACAATGTAGTAGTGTATGTTTTTTTTTTTTTTTTGTTATACATGACTATTGCTTGCACTCTGCAATAGAATATGGGTATAAAATGCACTCCTTTTGATTGAAAATGTTTGTCTGCTTATACAAAATCTACAGTACTTGATTGTATTGATAACACATCAATAAAAATACAGAAAAAATCCCTCTTGTCTCATGCCTTGAAATACAGCTCTTTGTGTGTAATGATTTCATATAACATAGGAGCATTTTATTACTTAATTTGAATTACTGAAATAAGTTAACTTTTTTGTGATGTTATAATACACTGAGATTGACCTGTATGAGTGAATAACACTTGTTAAGGAGCAGATTTAAAGAGTAGTATTTTTTTTTTTGTATGTGATGATTGCAGCACAAGTTGGTTTGCGGGAAGCTGTTGCAAGTAAGTAAATGGTCGCTAGAGGGAGCCACAGAGCTCTTAGCAAAGACGCAGCCAGACTCACCTGAGGGATTACTGAAGGTCCCAGGCGGATGTGGCGATAAACCTTTGAGCCAGTTAAGATCCAAAAATGTAGATTAGATCCAAAAATAAGCACCTTACCAAGAGTACCTTGCTGTTAGATTATAAAAGCATCAAATAAACACAAGGTCTGACACAGCATTGTAGATATGGGAAGATTAAAAATATTTGAATATGATTTAAGAACGTATTTTTTCAGTAATCTCAAATTTCACAGATGGACGACGGAGGATTAAATAATCTTAAATAAGCACGCTTGTATTTGTTTGGAATTTGCTTCTACGGACACGTGACAAGTATATCTATATATAAAACAAATAACCCACGAGCACAGGGATGAATTGTTGTTCTAACTTTCTGGAACTGTCGTCACCATGGTGAGCTGTCATTACTCACCCGGATTCCTCTTACGTCTTACTGACGCAACTCTCCGTGTTGCGTTTGGATGATTCCGGCAAACTAATGTAACAATCGGCTTTCATCTTTGTTTTGTTTCAGTGAGTGGAGGGTGGGAGATGAAAAGCATTTTTCAAAAGTTGTATTCGGTTAGTTACCTATTTTGTTACAGGTTCAAATTCAAAACCGTCATATCAATTTTGAAGATGCTTATGAAATATTAAAGTTAATTCATCATAAAGAACAGATTTGGAGAAAAGAAAAGCTGAATTTTCAATAAACGCCAGTGTTGAACAGATTGCTATATTTTATACTAGATAATGGTAATAGATATTTTTTTCTCTTGTCGCTCATAAATGCTATGATAAATATTTGTACTGGGTCTTAATTTGGATGTGTAAAAATACAGTGTGTCCTTAATAAGTGATCATTTGACATTTTATGTTTTACAACATAACAAAATTAAGAATATATATTTTTTTTCATTTGACGTTTTTATAATAAATGTAACTTTTACTGATTTTTAATAGTTGCCTTTTTTCTGTTATCATTAATGTAATAGGTATTAATTCGTCTAAAGGAAGCTATACATTCTACTTTTTTTGTGTTTACAAAGGATGCATCTGAAATAGCTGTCAAAACAACATCCAATAAAAAGCATTTAATGGCTTCCCATACTTCACGCAATTCGTATGTGCCCAGCAGGAATGTGCACCTAGCTCTGAAATTGCCTTGTTGTACCTTCTAGTTCGTGTCATTCGTCATACAATTTCCGACGGTCCGCAAAGGTGTCGGGAGGCTCCTCCCCTCCATCATAGCCCGACTTCCAACGAGAATTGAGGGTGCTACATTGAAGAGGAACAAAAAGGCGACCTGACAGCGGTGTTTTCTCTCCCTCCACTTTCTCCGGGGTAGTTACGGGATTTCAATGTTCAGCCTGATCCTTGTAAGTATTCACTGAACAAATTACGAACATTGGGTTTCCATTTTTTTGTATGGCTAATTAGAAGTGGGATGTTACATGATAAGAAGGTTTCCACGGTACATGGCAGCCGCAGTAAGTTGCATGAGGGCTCGCCTGATAAGGCGAACCACTATGTTAGCCTAGCTTCATAGCTTAGACAGCCACGACTCTCGCCGCTTTTTACACAGTAAGATGTGTTACGAGGCAAGGAAATGTTACAAGTTTGTGTATTACCTCAGTGTGATGGAGTCTACATCTGGGAAAAGTCTTAAGTTAAGACTTTCTCAGATTGAACGTTGCTAGTGGTGACGGCAAAATGCGGAGTTCAGCTAACCTGCTAGCTAATGTAGCGGTATTAGCGTGCTATTGTCACCACTGCCATTTCACAGACAAAAACGGAACATTTCGAACGGGTTTTATTGAAATGTCGGCAAGAAAGTTCACCGTGAACGTTTCGAAGATGCTTTTTTTTATTTTGTCAAAGCTAAATATTACACGTTGTGTCACATTGGCGGTTAATGATACCTTTAATTGTACATTGAGCTTGCGAAACAGCTCAAGCTTAGCAAATCGTGTTGTACGACCTAGTTCGTCTTTAACCATCTGTTAACGTTTTTTGCAGTTGCTTCAAGTGTAGCATTGACCGCAGATGTACTATTACGACATTCTCGTTTATAGCAAGTGGTGGTCATCTTGCGTCCTGGGATTTAGTTCTTTTACAGAGTAACGTCAGTAGTCTTGGTAGAACAGCCTTGGCTCCCAGATGGCCAAGAACAGGCAATAGTTTTAAGGCGACTGAGTTAGCCGGTTCCACCCTGAGTGGCAAATGTTGACTCAATTGTGTGGTTGACCTATTTGTTCGATGCTGTGATCCAGGCCACCATTTAAACTTGCTCTGTTAGTTGAGACTTTTCAAATAATACAGAAAATCCAAAGTTCTGGGCATTTTCATGTCATCAATTTACACTCAAAATATCTGTGTAGAGATTTAGTTTTATTATATGCACTATTCAGTAAAACGTAATAAAAGAATCATCTATGCATTTACTTAAACATGCCTATTGCTTGCACTCTGCTATAGTTTAGGGATTAATAACACTTCAGGACATACTTGAGTTGTTTTGTGATTTTATTCCAAAAGTTCTGACTGTACTGTGCTGTATCCCAACATGAACTTCATGGACAATGCAGTAAATTCTAAATGTATGTGCGCTATAAATGTGGATTTCAGAAGCTGAAATTCCACAATAGCAAATAAGCAGGTCTGACAGAGATAGCAGAGTCCTCTAACGGGGAAATCCAACGACTGTTACAAAACAGACTCGCTGATAGAAACATACCCGTTCCCCTCACAAATCAGCCGAACTGACACCTTGTCGAACAGTTTACACACACAGCCCTAGTATTTCCACCAGTAATTTACTTTGATGCATAAATTGCTGCTACAATCGAGGTTGGACGGGTCTGTAATTTATCCTATCTGGTGTTTCATGAAACAGAAAGCACCCCTGCATTTTAGCTTTTGTGGGCTGAAGTGAAATGAGGAAATGCAGTTGGGGGAGGAAGTTGACTTGAGCAGCTGTGACACTAAAGGCCACTGCAAATTCCCATGCCTCACTGGTTTTTGATTTAAGGCTGCTCAGTGATTCCGGTTTCGGTGCTGGTAGTACATTTCAATGAGAGGGTGATACGATATTGACGCCCTAAACATTCCTGCCAACGTGGGTGGATAAGTGAATGAGTAACAGGTAAGCTAATTATACATTCCTGCTTATGAGTGAGCCACAGCAAGGTGACCCACTTAGCTTGTAGTGGCAATAGAGGGTGAGGTCTAGAAATCTGGGATATAAAGAGCTTTTTTTTTGACACAAAGATTATCCTGATGGTGTCTAATTGTAGCAACTAATTCAAGGGTTTGTTTCACAAAAGACCAGAATACCTGACAATTTGAGTGATGCCACATCAACTCTTTATACATGACTCATGCTTCAACACATACGCAGGTCATTCCTGCTGGCGAGCTGGCTTTCATCTTGAATCTAATTGGCGCATGATGCACTGGCCAGTCTAGACAGTGTCTTCCTTGAATTCACTCCCCAAGATCACACCTAGCAGTCATATGGTCTCACACTGCAAGTTATATGCTTACAAATGGATGTGGTGAATGAGACTTTGAGCTAGAGGGAATCCCATGTGATTTGGCTTGTGATGAGAAACAAAGTGATGGGACTTTGTGGATGTACCTCGACACAAATGTCAAGGTCTGGTTTATTTGAGAATGGATGTCAAACATTTCTCAGCATTTTGTTTCTGTCATCTCCCACTTTAACTCAGTTGGAGACTCATATTTTACTTGAAATTCTGATGGAATAGTTGTTTAAAACTCAAAATGAAAATCAGTGTTTTATTTTTCTTGGATTTAAATAGATTAATAGAGGCTGACTAAGTGAGTACTCCTCCTGTCAATGTCAAATCTAACTTAGTTCCTCAGCATTGAGTATTAACCAACTTTAGACTGAAGGGAGTGAAGCGCACTGCAATGCTTATTTGGTTAATTTATCTTTAGGACACAGAGTGCAAGATTTAGCTCCTAAAGGTCTGTACATTTCCTGACTTTTTAGAGTGATTTGAAGTGTTTCAGAGTGTAATCTCTGTGATATAATTATGTTATCACTTTACAATAATGGGCTGAATCCTGACCACAGTACAGTCTGCTCTGCTACAGACGTGAACAAATGGAAAAGCTGTTTTAACACAATTTGATTCAATTAAATTCCAATTTTTCTTAGTTTGTAGTGACTTTACTAAAGTTATAAAGTCTAACCACTGAGGCTAAATCATTGGTATATTTATAGTTGCTGATCAGAGTTCCGGGTTGCTTAACTTAAGCCTCTAGAGTTATTTCTGAGGCTTCCGGGTAACTTCTTAATGTGCAGTGGTCTTATCTTATTGCCCAACTCCAGGGGAGTCTTGCTTTCAAATAAAAGTAAACAAAACAAACGAACAAAAAACAACGACATGCTTTTAACTTAAGAGCAACTGCTCAAGTCATACGAAGAAAAAACTGTCGTGTTTCATGCGTACTACGTTACAGGAATAAAAGGGTAGTGTTTATAAGTGTAGAAATGCACTGTGGCAGGAGGGGAAGTTCTCAGCCTTGGTTACCGTAACTGAAAGGCGAACCCCATGTACTGTAACGCGATGCCAACTTGTCAAAGCGGGTTACTGGGGGAGAACACCACCTGTGTTGTTGCCTGCTGGCGTTAAGCCCATCTAGCCACGGGGATCCTGCGAGTGTTGAAGGTAGGGAGGAGAAGGCCTGCTCAATATTGACTGGCTTAACTTAGTTGTCTGAAATTGTTCTTTTCATTTTTTTTCTTAAAAAAAAAAACCCTTTACACGATACAATTTTGGCTTCGTTAAGGGTTATTCTTGTGCGTTGAAGTTGTGATCACTTCTCACCAGGCAAGCAGCAGGGAATTAATCTCTTTTTTTTGACCATTTGGATGGTCTCAACTTTTATATAGCAGCGCATCACTCGGTGTATGTCTTTTCAGTTTTCCTGCGTAACGTATCTGTTAATGAGTCATGCTGTGTTAGGCACGGTATTCGTTTACAGTTGTTGCCGTAGCATTCGGATAAAGCAAAGACACAGACTCGTTGGGACTGTCTGTCAGACTAACACCTCATGTAAATGCTGCTGGTGTGGTGTTGCCTGCTGAAACTACAGCAACAGGTAAGACTTGACCCTTGCTTTGGGTTAACTCGTGTTTGTGGCTTTTATCTTTTAACACTTTTCTATCTCAATTATTCTGGTCAGCTTTTTATATGAAGCTGATGCATTGATTCAAAATCAGTTTTCGTCCAAAGTGCTGGCAGACATGTAAACGTCAATCTTGCTGTATTTCTCTTATTACCTAGGCATTAATTTGCCTCATGCTGCAGCTGTTTTTTGTTCTCCCTCTTAAGAAGCTTATCAAACACTTAAACTGACCGACAGCTTCTCCCCGAATGACTCTAAACTTGCATGGTCTTCACGAACATAATCTCAGAACAGAAGGGATTTGTACCCAGTAGCTGTGATTGTATAATTAAGTGTATTTTCCCTATTAAAAAAAGTTGCCATTCCAACAGACGGCCCTTGCTGTCCATTTTCAAACATTTAGGTTTAATGCTGAATGTCCAGTCTCTTGCTAGTCTCAAATATATGAATGTTTAAAGATGTTGCCTTTGTTCAGATCTCTTCACAAAGAACATCAGAATTCCCTGTAGAAGCACTTGTTGCTACCACAGAGATAATTGTTGATACAGCAACAGGCGAGTCCTGATGCAGCTCTCCGTACGCAGCTTTTGCTTCCAAATGTCAGCAGAATTGATGTTGCAGTGGGACCAAACCTCTTGGTAAATATTTGTGCAGGCGTTCTCTTGTTTCTGTCAGTGTTGGCATTCTTTTATAAAGTAGACCTTTATTTTAGTGGCTCACCTTCACATCCTGCTGTAGTACATCTCTCTGGTTTCATCACATGCATATCAATAATATTTAGACTAATCCACAGTCCAGACAATTAAACAATAACCATCTTTTTAACTGTTAAACGATAAACTAACAAGTTAATGGTTTGTTCAGACAACTTCATGCAGCAGTTTGGACTTTGAGCATTGGCTATGGATGCTCCAACTAACCTGCTCATTGCAGTTTGTGTGGAAGTCATTATGTAACATTTGCTCATTCCAAATGTCTAGAGGAAAAATACCCAGTTTAACACTTTAGCAACAGGAGAGGGCATGTATGCCAACAAAATGCCAAGAACGAATTATCAACCGTTTTCTGGTTTACATGAAACTTTTTAAAATGCATTTTGCAGTAAAACTACTAAGGGTATCACAAGTTAGTGGCATTTTATTTGTTTTACCCTAATACTTTCATTCCATCTTAAAATATCAATGATTTTAAGTTTGTAAACATTTCTTCTGGGACTAAA